GTCTTCGAAGAAGTAAGGGCCAATGATGCAAGTTTGCGATACAGCGCACCAAACCGTTACTTTTGGGCTGTGCAGCGGTCTTTCGTGTAACTGTTGCGGATTTTCATTAGCCCAATAACGACAATTCTGCTGGTTAACCATGCTGTTTAGGTGAAAGTGGGCTTCGTCACTCATAAACAAAATGAGGTTCTCATTTTGATCGATCAGTGCTTCCATCTCACGTGTGAAGTTCATTCGTTGTGCATAATCTCCGGGCTGTAACTGTTGCACAATGGCCAATTTGTAGGGGTGAAAGCGGAGATCCATATGCAAAATTCGTAAAAGTAAAGCAGCATGTTTCCAGGCAGATCGAGTCGGACTGCGAAGAAAGACCTGTCGAACGCGTTCAACATTTTCACGCCTGCGAAGTGATTCAACCCAACGAAGGATGGTGTTTCGAGAGGGAACAGCTCTATTCCGATGAATGTTGAAGTGGCGACGAAACTCACGCTGTACGACGATGACTGACTCATTATTTCGGACGAAACAATCATAGGGGAAAACGCGGTGCTCCACCGTCCAAGGCTCCATAACGACAACTGGTAAAATAATGCTAGGATCTCACGAGTCAAACGGCACCCTCCCCACCTCTATCGTAGATGGAGACGGAGAGTACTACCCATCCCTAAAACGTCCGTCCTCTCTGCCGGACCCTGTATGTGTTGATGATAATTACATTGGGTTTTTGTCTCAAATACACTTAATTGAGATTCAAAGCTAGAAATTAGTTGCGCATCCACTTTTTCTTATCTATTCTGGAAATTACATATACAAATTTGCTGAATTTCAAAAATGAGAGTGATAAGAAATAATTATATTCACTGTACTCTGTTGAATTACAAGCCATATACATATTAACAGTAATTACACACAACGCGGGCGCGGTGATGATTTCCCGTAATTCTCCTCAGTTTTTCGTAATTTATAACTTTGAACATCACCTCTCTTCAGAAAGCACAACATATAAATAACCCGTCATATTCGGCATATTCAGTAATGATTTTCTCACACAGTAAGTATCACTGATTTTATACACATGCAGAACAATACACATAATCATCCAGATGCGATCTTGCTATTCATCCAACTTTCTTCTCAGAGATAAAAACTACACACCTGGATCACTCAACCGCACAAAGCTATGCAACCAATAATGCGTAGTTTAGTTGAGTAATTCCTCCATAGATGGACGTTCACAACGATCCTAGTGAGCAAACGTGGAACGACTGTTTGCACCCTGAAAACTACCTAGTATGCAAGTTGACATAGGTTTTTTTTGACGTTTTGTAAGATTTTTACATGATTCCCATGCCAGCGGAAATTAAAGGACGCAAAATTGGCTAACCGGTTGCACCGGTAGCTCAACCGGTGAATTAAAGAATATACCTTTGAATGTGATACTAAGCTGTTTTTGAGTTCGTGTTGAAGGATGGCATGCGGATTAAGTACATCAGCAAAACAATGTGATAATGGAAGATAATTTAGAAGATTGTTAAAATCTACACCTAGACAACCGCTATATCATTTCGTCAATTTTCTCAGATGTTTATGTTTTCTTTGAATTTGCTTCTATAATCTACAAGGTGGGTTTATGATACTTGTTTCCGATTTTTTTCCAGTTTTCGATGCAGTTTTATGAAAACGCTTTCTAATTGGTCACTGTGGATCCGGATCATAGGTTTTGATATCCGGATCAACTGGAAAAATATGTTTTGTAGCTTAACCAGGTGATTTATACAGAGTTTCCTGATTTAGTATGGGGCTTAGAGGCCCTTTTATTACACAACTCGTATATTTTTTCGCCAGTTTGACATATTTTAGAAGAAATCGACTATATTCGTTTGATCCATTACAACAAGGACATCTTCTTATTGATCTATTATGATCTGGATCAAGATTTGAGATGCCCCTGATCAATAGGAAAATCGGGCCTACGCGCAATAAAGTGATTTTCTTCAGATGACTGAATAACTTACTCCACGAGGCTGCGGCCTCACGTTTTGAACAGGGTTAGGGCGGTACTGTCGAGCTCGCTTGCTGCTGACAGGAGTTATAAAAGCTATCTTCTGTCTAAAAAGCCAGAAGGTACACTGGTATTGCGCTATGGGGCCTCTTCATCTCCATGGGCAGGAAGCACAGTCCAACCTGTCCTTCATCTAAACTCCGCCCCTGGTTGCAAAAACGAGATTTTGTAAGATGTCGTGAACCTGACAACTCTGGAGTCTTGGACCATACTATCATTCTCATTGTATACGGTACCTTCACCTGACTATAGATACGTAATACGTGACTGTTATCAACTTATCTACAAAAAGGACAGGTGCGTCAACTGAATGCTTACCCGTTACAGTTATCTTATTTGATAAAATTAATCCTTGAATTATAAATGCCTATGTAACTTACACAATACCAAAGGAATATTAGCGTAGTCAAACAGTAAACAAAATATTCGTGCAAGAAAATATAAAAAATATACTTACTTAAGTTTCTAGGATAGATACATTATCAATCATAACTCATTCATGTCATTTCAAATACGAACCTTTGAAAGATATGATGGTCCAAGTCCAAATTTTCGGAGTTGCATGTGAATATTGTTTTAGATAAACCAGCATTCGACTGAGAAAGTTATCAAAAATATACCTATAAGTTTGGGATATACTTAGATGCCAGCAGTCTTGTTTTAAGGATCCTCCAGACCGACACGAATATTTCGCGGCGACTGCGGTTAATTCGCGAGGACATTGTCGCTCAGAGACTGCTCTCCCAGAAGTAAATAAACAGGAACGGACCAGTGCGTCAGTTTCGCCAGAAGCGGTGCGACAATACAGCATCTGCATTTTAATTCGCTGCTTGCACGGCTTTTGTTCGTTGCCACAGTAGCAAATACTGAAAAACTCGAAATAATTAAACAATTTCCAATTCTTTACGACTTGAGTAAGAGAATTATAAAAATGTTTGTAAAAAAGACAACATTTGGGATAAGATAGGAGTGGAACTAAATGCCACTGGTAAGTCAACCTCTTTATACTGAGAAATTATTATAATCTATATTATTTATGATTGGCATAGCTAAGCTGATCTTGACCAAAAATATTATGAGTTGAAGTATTTAACAAATTTTTCTCGTGTAGAAAATGCCAGATTCGTTGCACGTCTTGGATCATTTTCGATGTTAGTAAAGGCGTGTAATGGATCTATATTATCTAAGACGTAGATATAGCAAGAGATACATACCTACTCCGCTCTTCCTCCTCCAAAGCAAGAAATAGAATTGCTTCTTCTTCATCTGAAGAGTACATATGGTATTTTAATTTGGCTTATTAGCGAAATTCTCACACCGTATACTGTCAATTCACTGCGATCTGTTCGCTTTGATATGAAAAGTCCCTCAAATATTCGCAGCGAATTTCGCGAGGATATATCGCAGCGAATTAATCGCGTGGATCTGGGGGATCCTTTATATATGAATAGAGAGATTTAACCGGTTGAAGGCACAATGGGCCAAGTGTAACTTGCCCCACTTTGTTTTTCGATAGTTGTGTTCTACGGTTCTGCAGCAGTTGTTGTTTACATTCCTGACGCGAACGAACAAAATAATAATTCTGAGCAATCAGGATCATCATTATCAGGTAAATAAATTCAATACCGGTAGGTATTCAACAACAAAAAAAAAGCAGTAAACCCTTTTATGTCTGCAAAATGCAGTAGAAGAGGACTGTTTTCTTTTTGTCAAACAATGCTATGACGAAAGATATTATGACGCCTCCGTATCCTTTGGATTCATTTTGGGGAAAAAGGCACCTTGCAAAATGTTCTACAAAAAAACCCTCAATAGAGACGTTATCAATTTGCAACAGAATGGGAAAGATGCACCTAAAATTTTGAGTAATTCCAAAGTGATTGGTAATAAAAGACTTTTAGTTCTCTCATGTGGCTGGGATACGTTTGTTATTTCACTGTATAAAGATTTATTTTGTCGTTTTATAACGAGATCGCCAATAAACTTACTATTGTATAACTTGATATTTAAGTAATACATGGAACGAAAGACAAAAACTGTTGTAAAGCAGAGTGGGCTAAAACTTAAACATAAGAAAAAATATTTAAACACAAAATATGTCTGTATTTCATGGTTAGATACGCAAATTGATATTTAATTGATTTTTAAACAATTGTTGCGGTTTTGTTATTCTAGATGTATCAGCAGCATTTAAACTTCAGTAGGTTCTTTATATCTTGGAAACGTTTTTCTTTGCTTGGACCATCCTGGCTGTCAATGGCTCATATAATAGGGAAAATAGACAAAAGATATATAAAGGGTTAATGGATAAAACACTGAGTTTTCTCAAGAACATATTTCTGTAAAAAATAACACGTTCCATGCGAAAACCGTTCAGTTCCATAGATTACACAAAAAATGTTCGGAAAATTTGACAAATAATCCTCGCATTCCAAAACTTGATGTCATAAAACCTGTTATATTTTCCATAAAAAAAGATTTAAAAAAATGCAAAGCATTGATCTCCATCAAACCTCTATATTTGAATAGTAGTAATCCGTTCAACCGACGTAAATGAAAACAACAATAATGACAAATTTCTATTAAATCAAATGGAAGTTTGTACACTTTTCATTATGAGCCAAATTCAGATGTTCAAAATTTTTCACGCAGAACACACTACAAAATGGGTGATCCTGAATTTTACCGTAAACAAAGTAGTGCTGAACGATTCACTGCAAACTTTGAGAGTTAAAAGTCTGCCATAGTGAAGATAGTGTAAGCAAAGTTTTGTTTCCATTGTTAATTTATTACTTAAGGTATTAACATTAAATAGTTTCAATCACATTCGTTTCCATTTTTGTATTTTTGAGTTTTTGCCCATATATGGAACACTGTGGTTCGCTCAGCTTAAAAATTGACTGTACCATATCGCGACCTGTGGCAGCCAAATTTTCGCCACGTTGCCGCGATTTCCCTGACCGACTTTATCTAGTTCCCCACGGCCGCCCACGCGTCATTGCAATCAATAAATGTACATAGCCTACTGCGGATTTGTGATATAGGTTAAGATCTTGTTAAAACAGTTAAAACGTACCCTGAAACTAAGCGTTTTCGCATAAATTGTGCTTAACAACCAACTTGTCAGTGAGAACATACCTAAAACGAATTGTCAAAATGACAAACTGATCGGTTAAGCCAACGAAACTGTGATTATATGACCATATTTTGACCCACAGTTCAGATATTTGGAGATGAAGCAATATTTATGTGCCTTGTAAATGTGCGTATGGATGTGCTTATTCGTGCCTAAATATAATGGAGCCTGGAGAAGTAAAAATTGCTGATGACAACGATTTCAAGATGCTGAAAATGTTGGTGGATGATCATTCCAATTGGAAGATAGAGTATGATAAGGGAGATGAGAACACTAGAGTAAGAAATGGAAAATATCGCTTGTGTCTTGAAACGTATTCTTTGATTGTCTATGTCTGAATTTTCCCAATATTAATTACCCTACTATGAGCTGGTCAATAACTGTAACCGTGTAATATGCTTTCAAACATAATTTATTAATATAGATACTATGCGTCTTGAGAAAGATTTCGAGACAGCCGAAATACATGAAAGATATTTTTTCAAAAAATATGTGGTTAAGTATATGTTTTATATTAGAAAAACAAAATTAATGGGTTCATAGTCCATAGGCTAATTTACAGCAAATTCAGACGTAAACATAGAATTTACAGTGGTTATAACTATTGGTCATACATGGTTATTGGGTGACGTCCATTTGCGCTGTCGATTCATAAAATTTTTACAGCTGTAACCAATCACCAGTTAAACGTGTTTTTATAAGAATTTAATTAAGGGATTTGATTTTACTTCCTATACTAAAAAAATCATTTTTTGAGTTCTATAATCTGTAAGCCTTATGGGAAACTATTGTTAAACATAAATGGATTAGAAGCAAAATCCAATGCAAAAACAGGGATCGTTTTTGCAAGCTTTGATGTTTTCACTACTTCATTAAAAATGTGTCTGTGATAGTTTGTGATAAAGTATAGGATTTTCTAGCTATCTTCATTGCAGTAAATAACGTGTGATTTGTGACTGACAGTTTTAAAAATTGAATTGGTAACGCAAATCTCAGATTTGATCATGCGTTGATAAATGTAGTTGCCATTGCTTAGTAGCTCTCTCAATCTGTAAAATAACCTTTACTGCGTTGCGCTGACTTATTTCTTTACACCGTACCTCCCGGATAGATCATAGATGCTATGCTTTCGTTCGTTGTCCAGAGACAATTGACCACGCCTATACCATGCCTATTAGTAGTCAAAAAGCACGAAACAGCTGTCGATGGTTGGCTGTCTTTGATCAGATGAACGAAAGCACTACGTTTTAGTATTTAACCTTGCGACGTGTTGACTATTAGCTATTAGCACCAATAAAATTAAATCATCGTCAAATAGTCTAAAGTGTTCAGTATAAACTGTTAAAATTACATTCCTATAAAGTTAAATCATCAGTGGATTAGTTTATGACAGTTTCGGTCTTGTTATTATGACGGTGTCAAGCTTATACGAGGGTCTTCTCAAAAATTGTTCTTTTAATCCGTATACAATTTTTAGGCGCGTACATTGCTGCTGCTTGTGCGCTAAATCCAAAATTAGGTGGTATCTATGTTAGAAAATGTTCGAGTAGCGAGCCAATATTGAAAGGAATGTCATTGTGCCCCTAAAAAATTGGCAACTATATGTTTTGTGTAACTTTGAGCAAATCTACACAGTCTTACATTTTCTATTTGTAAAGTGAAAGTAATACCTACACGTTGCTTACCGCTCTCCCACGTATATACGCCACTGTATATTGTATATAAATATATAACTACCAAAAATTTAGATATCCTCTACAACCCTGACCCTTAAAACTTTACCTTCCATAAGCATTTTCAAAAACGTCAAAAACTAAATTTAGTTTTTTTTAGCTCCACCGCCACTAGGCCGCTTTCAAAATTTCATCAAAATCATCATTTTCCAAATTTACAATTACAATACCTACTCGCAAATTGGAGTGGAAAGTAAAAACCTATTACTTCAAAATTTTGTAGCTCGTATATTCATAACGAAGCAGTTTTTAGAAAACCTTTTAAAGGCAAAATAGCCTCAGATTGATTAGAAGAAATATTCCTTGAAGTTTTGACCTATATTTTTTTATAAGACAATATTTCGTTGAAGGTATGGACCAAATCTACGCCTGCCTGTAGCTTCAAAATGGTGAAGGTGCACACGTATTTCAAAGACAGTCACCCGAACACTGTGTTCGACGTGCTGCATGACCCGGACTACAGGAAAACCTGGGACGAACACATGCTGGCCTCCATAGAAATAGGTTAAATAGATGCAGTATAATAAATACTTCGGACTTTCCGGAAGGTAATTTTTCTGGACATTCCGGAAAGACCGTGCTGAACGAAAAACTATTTTATTCAGTCATCGTAAAATGAAGTAAAATTTCGTGGCAGAAAAATACACTATAAATTGTACCTACAGTTTTTCTAAAACAATACTTCTATTCATTATAGAACTCCTAAGAGTTAATAACCAATACTTATTTGTCTGATATGGCATTGAAAGTACAAACTGTTTTTGACAACCGTCGCAACCATTGTGATGGCTTAATGGTCACAATAAACCATTCCAACTTCTTGTCATTTGCAAAAAAGGACGTTGTCATGTAATCTTTAGCTCTAATTAAGGTTTCTCAAGTATACAACATCAATGTCATGGATTGCAAAACATTTTATAGTTTGTACATTTGTATTATTGGAACAGCAAATTTTAATAACTTACTTTACTCCTTCTCAAATAAACTACTATAACTTACTCACGCACAAGCTTTTGTTCTTAATTTTTTTTGATAGCAGTCTAGTATGCTACGTTATTTTTTCAAAAATACATACCAATTACTCATTTCCTTTACATACCTGGACGAATTAAATAAAACTCCAAATTGGAACACATATTTCTATAGGCGACTGTCCCAGAACAATTCTGCAGTGAGGATTGAACATATGCGAGAACCAATTGCTAGGAATCAATGGATCTGGGACAGTTGCTTGTAGAATCGAAATAAGGCTATGTTTGTTCTTCCAAAATATCTTGGAATAATATCCTCTATCTCCTTAAACTTACAACTTCTAATTTAGGGTAAAATCCCAGAGCTGGCAAACGTACCTTATTTTCTGAAAAAAGCTTTATGAATTGACCTCACACTAATGTTTCGCAACAAGCATTTAGAAAAAAGTTGTGCACAAAATCATGCTAAATATGCAAATTTTAAGGTGCAACCTGCCATGGTCACTGTTGCCCCCATGCGGGCGACCTTGAAGGTGACACTGAAAATTATCCCAGTTACAATTTTACAATTTTTACAATTAGCAAAGTGTACAGCTAAGCACATAGTTCACGCAAGATGACTCACATACAAGCATAAGCATATATTTAGTGAATAAAGTACAATATCCCACCGGAACACAATGGCGATGTCTCCAGGATCCGTAGCCAAGTTAAGCTTTTGAAATATATGGAAGCGTCCTGACGTAGCGATTAGCGGCGACGGATGCCAAAAACAAGCTTTCATACATTTCAATAGGTTCAATTCAATACAATTTATTTTTCATCGACAGACATATCTGTATAGGAATTGTTAATACAATGAATCCTAACACTAAAAAAAATCTAATTAATAAAGTTTCCTGAAAAACTGCAGAAACTCTGGCATACTATAAAAACAGTTCCCCAACGGATAACTTTTGAGTTCTTTCTTGAAGGATTTCTTACGGGAGTTTACTTTTATATCATCCGGTAGACGATTGAAAATGTTTGGACCCATTACAGTGGGCGAACTTGCAGTTGTATTACATCTAGCAAATGGACTAGCAATTAATTTTTTGTCTTGTATTTATATCGTGTATAGTACATACTAATGGAAATGTGAAAAACGTATGAACATAACCCTAAAATACATAGGCACGAAAGAGGTAAACTTTTTGAAATTGTAAAACTTTTTTTGTGTAGTGAAAACATTCATAGCATGGGTAGAGCTACCCCATAAGCAAATTCCATAACGGAGTCAAGATTCGACCTGGGCGTAATAGACTGGGATTATTTGAGGTATGTTTGATATTGTACGTTCTAAACATGAAAATAATCGAATTTAGTTTAGTAGCTTACCAAAATTTAGTTTGGACACGAATACTGTTTAAAATGTACAGATCCTAAGATGTCATTTCGCCAAGGTATCTCTTCGTATGGTTTCTTTGAATTATTTAAATTATATTGTTGCCAAATTTTTCCGTCAACTCGTCCGAAAAGCTACGATGCACTGCCATTCAGTAAACCAAATTTATTTTGTAGAAGCCACTTGTATTGAAAGGATATAATCAAAATAAATGACAGTAATAGTAAAAGAAAGATTTTACAAAATTGTGTTAGGTTAAAAACGGTTCGACTTTGTACTGAGGTATACTGGGTTTTCCGTACTTAAATGGACATAGTGAAAAGGTATGCTAAGACCTTTCCATATCTGAAAATAAAAGAGTTTTAAATTCAATGTTTACGGATATACATGGTGATTTATCTAAACGCGCCTAAACTTTATTATCTCTCAAATGAGGTACTGTTGAACGGATTGTATAGACTCATTGGCTCTTATGTACACAGCCAAACATTTCAATGTTCAGCTTGAAAGGTATTGATGTGAGTGGAAACAAAAACAAAATGAAAAACGTCATCCATCTAGCTTTACTCCTAGGTAATTTTGCTAGCATGCCAAATTTCAACAATATCAGTTATATGATATTAAATATTTGGTCTGTAGATAAATCACCCTGTATATCCGTAAAAACTAAATTAAGAACTTTTATATTTTCGGATATGAAACGGTCTAGGTCTACACTACCTACCATTTCACTATGTCCATTTATGTACGGAACTCCTTCCTGTATGCGGATAAATGTGTTGCAAATCAATCAACTCGTAAAATGTACAGACCTTTCGAACACCCTCTATACTTCTTAATTTCCAGGTTACCTGAATCCTAACAATGATGTCTCCTACTACGCCTTGTCTTGTCCCGCCCCTATCAAGAACAGGGACTTCGTTTTGCAGAGATCTTGGCTGGACATGGGAGACGAGAAACTGATATTAAACCATTCGGTCCACCACAAAGACTACGGACCCAAGAAAGGATTCATTAGGGGCATTTCTTACCTGACTGGTTTTGTCATTAGAAGAACTGACAAGGGTTGTTTCCTCGGCTACATTTCACAAACAGATCCTAGGGGTAAGCTACCTCCTTGGCTGGTGAATAAAATATCACAAAAATTCGCACCGAAAGTGGTTGAAAATTTGAAAAAAGCCGCTGACGGGTATGACAGATGGAAAATGGCACAACCTAATTCGTATTTTAAGCCATGGATCAGCCCAGAACAGACGCTCCAATCGCCCAGGATTAACGTTAAGGATTGCGTTCAAGTGAACAAGACATCTCTGAGGATATCAGATTGTGAGGAAAGTGATGATTGATAATATGGTATAATGTAATCGAAAAGTTGCGCGAAATCGGTACTCTACGCATATGGTAAACTGAAAGATTAAATATATGGCATGATTGAAGCTTTTGACTTTTATTCTAATCGAATTACTAGTTGTAGATTTTTGAAATGGTACAGTATTGCATACAATGTAATTGTCATTGTAATAATGAACGTCTGCGTTTTTAAGAGTATTTACTCATAGATAATATAAATAGTCCCCTTGCATTGTTGCAGTTATATTAAGATGAATTTATTATTATAATTAGAAAAATATACTGTGCAGTGGGTAAGTACATTCAATTATCTTTAATCTTCAATCAACATTGAATTTATGTAGGGCATTAGCTACATTTGATACACATTCAAAAAAATATATATTTTTTTATTTCACTGCAAAGACAGAATATAATGTTATAGAGGAAGTAAACATGTGTCACGTTTTAGTATAATAGGATTTCCAGAATTTAGTTTTCGTTTTTCTACTTCATATTTAAATTTAAAGTTTATATGTACATATACCTCTGTGATATTTTATAATGCAGTACAAATAAACTATCTATTTAGAATGAAGATGTATTATTCTTACAGCTGAGCTCTACTTCATAATAATTTGACTCCCTACAAAAACAATGGCGTCAAGTAGGTTAGCTCTGCATTTCCCACCCAGTTACCAGTTCATAAATGATTATGATTAGACCCTCTCAGAAAAAAGTCAAACAGGCCCATAAAATTAGTTCATAGACATTATTTCCCTACCCTAACGGTAGCGCATCTGGAAACGTCGCCTCTTCTCGTGACAGCCCGGTCAGAGTGTATTTTTTACGTTTTAAGGGCTCATGTACGAAGAAGTCTATGATGTGTGATATTAGGTGCATACAATTACCAAGGTTGGGAACGTATAAATGAACTATCATAAAAATTGAGATAAATCCTCCCCAGCCCCGTTCATCTATCATCCACAATTTTTGCTACTTATTTTTCAAAAATTGTCAGGATCCTCCGAACCGCCAAAAACGAAGTTTTGGGGATTTCTATTATCCTTTGTTTTGGGCCTTTTTGTAAAAACTTTTCTCATATATGCACAATTGCGTAACGAAGGGTAGCAAAGTTTTTCTCCACGCTTGGTGATGCCCCCCCTCAACTCCTATGCTATTCCGAACAATTTGTCGCAGGCACCAGACACCATTCTTAAGGAAAACGTGATTCCGGTGGATTTACTCCAAACTTCAAGATGGTGTACTCCAAGTATTGCAGAAGGTGCAGATGGCTTAGAATTTGGGTATTTATGCTGTATACAACATCCGTCTTTTCTATATATATTCAAAGCATGATTTGGATGAGTGAATTACAGCACAAATAAATCAATGAAAATGAAAAACAACCCCCTTATTGGGGATATCCAAATATCTACTAGTACCACAGAATTAAGTGAAATACCTATTTGAAGACCTTTCCCTGATTCATACAGTTCTGTAGTCAAATAGGGCTTTTTTCCTTTTCAAAATGTTCATTATTATACATCTCATGCTGTGAATTAAATGTAATAAGTAGAATCCGGAAACAATTACACCGCAGCGAAAACAATCAATTTTTTTTCAATAGAGGTTGCTAAGAGGTAACCAGCAGTCTTTTTCAAGATAGTTATTGAACCGTCAAACCATATCTCCGAGTCCCCTTCATCTCTAATGCCGATACCAGATTGCCTTAGTTGGCCGGATATTACCAAGATCTTGCCTTGACTGGTCGGACCTTTATTCTACTTGCATAAGTTGTCTGAAAAATATTATTTAGTCTGCTTTAAACTTATTAAGTGATAAGAAGTCATGCAATTAGCTACATGAGGAACATATCCTTTGGCTTCACCTTCGTTAATAATATATATTTCACCCAGGTCGGTGATATTAGTAGATATTGAATGCCCCTCATTGGAGATTGGTTTTTTATTTGAGGAGTTGAAACACAATAATTTTATCTAGTCTTGTACAGAGTAAGAACTTTATGTGGCCACAAGTACTTCTTAGCCTCAAAAAGTAGCCTAGCTTTTCCCAGCAGCTGATTGACAAGATGTGTTTGTGCCAGATAAAGTTCTCCCTGATCTCCGATCAGCCGAAAAAAAACAGCTTTTTGATAGAACTCGGCCACCTATCGAAACCGGAAAACATATTTTTAAAGTTCATTATATGATCAACTACATAAAAGCTTGTTTTTAAAAATGAATTGTATTTATTTTTTACTTCTTAGTGTTTATAATGTCTAATAATGAGTTTGATAATGTCTGTATAGCTCTCATATGATTTATTAACATAACTCCATAACAATTCTAACTTTATTTGGATCATAAAATTTCGATAGACAGATCTATATTTTGCGGCGATCACCGTATGCAATTTAAAATGACGTTATTTGCTTATCGTATTTCTGTCATTAACCTCTTTCATTTGATACCTATTTCAAAGCGGTGTCCACGAAAATTACAAATCGTCATTCAGCAACGTTCGCCATATTAGATCTAGAATGACGCCACTTTGCTCATCATGTTTCCTCATCAGGCCATTTCATTTGATAGCCATAGTATATTGGAAATTACAAATCGCGATTCTGCGATGACCGCCATATTGAAATTACAATAACAGAGATGCTTGTTGAGTTTCTCTCATAAAGCGCTTTAATTTGATACCTATGATAATTATAAACGCCATCTTGGAGCGGTGGCCATACTGGATTTGGAATGACGTCACTATATTGTGTTTTTCTTATCAAGCCCTTTCATTGATGATGAATCGCCATTTTAGCGGTAGTTAATTGATTTTATATCCTCACGCAAACCAAACGTGAGTACAAAATATCAGCAAAATTAGTTAAGGTTAATTCGTTCAATATTCAATTCCAGGATTTGTTCCACACCAACTAACTAACATACATTCATACTAACAAACAGGTGAAGTTCAATAAAAGCTTGCAAAGATTCTTAAATAATGTGTAGAATTTGTGAACTGCAATTATTTTTAGTCCAAACTAAATTAATGATTTCCTGGACACCCAGAGATCATTTTTGAACAGATGCTAAGATATTAGGCAAGGCGGAAACATCGCATTTGCAAGAGAAATTTTCCAACTAGGTTTTTACCCATAATCACGTTTGTCTTTTAACAGGAATCAAGAGGTAGACTGTCGGTAGCCGGCATCAATTTTTCTTAAACAAAGTACAAAAAAGTATTTTATTTTTTAGGTCAAAAATGGCGAGCTTTTGATTTTTGTGGACTGCACATCTTTTCATAGCGAAGCAGCCGCGTAGGCAAAAGCCTAGATATGGAGGCACCGCGACTGCTTTGAAAAGTACAGTGTAGGAGTGATATCGAATTTTGTTCGAATGCAACATCCCCGTGTATTCGACAATAGATTTACTCTAACTGGTTGACGCCTTTCTCCCTTTGGTTAATATACTCATTACATTCATAGTGCGGTAAAAGGCGGTTAAGTCAGTCGCGTGTCCCAACTATAAATTGAGTGTGCCCATGGCTTAATAGAACCACAACCAGCCCTATGGTAGGCGTCCTAGCATTACGTTTATGGGAACATCCATCCAAGGGCGGTTGCGGTAACCCTTCGATAATGTGCCGCGCCACCGTTCTGGATTCAACATTTTGATCCTTCCTCTGAGACTGGGATTCTCCTAACGTGTGTCGCTGGCGTTGCACGAGGCCTTCGAGGTATAGGGTGCCTTAATGGGCTTTCTTAATAGTTCAGGACAAGGGGGCGACAAAGTCGTTTGATTAATTGCGGTTTACTTGGGCATTAATTGAACGCATATGAGCCACAAACATTTAAAAATACGCAAGATTTTAAAAAGATTGAGGCATGCTTCAATGATAATTTATTGACGGTGAACTATGCAAAGACTAGTTTTCTTATGAACACTAATAACCCAGTTATTGTGCAAATGTCAGATAGTATAAAATATTTAATTGCTTATATCGACAGCAACATTTAAATGGGATATACGGATTGTATTTACTATCTTGTTAAAAAAGCTCAGAATGCTGTTGCCCTGATTTAGATAGTTATCAGCATTCCTATCCCAGAAATATCTAAATACCCACTCTTTACCTAGCTCTTAAAACGTATTCTCAAGGTTATGTGCAAAAAAACTAAGCTCTTTCCCTTCGCCTCTCTTCTCATATTTTTCAGTACAAAAAGAGGATTTCTCAAAAGAAAGTAAATCAAAATCAAGTATTAGACTCGACAAAAGGCGCTGTACCAAAAATATCAACTTGTTGACTATGTAGGCTAGTGTGCAAGTAGTTCATTCCGCGTTTGCTACAAGTGAGCAAGAAGTGAACGACAGCCAGTTCCAAGTTGACGTCTTGTAGGAAAACCTACATAATGCCATAAAAAACCGACAATGTCGGAAAAAAAGCAACATAATGTTACTTTGTAAGTTACGTAATATAATACCCTACCGGAAAGAAACAGAAGAAACCGATTTTTCCTTTAATAGTTTTAATTTTTCCCTGACGTTATTCTGTAGTGGGATTTCAAAATAAATGGCACATTAACATTGCTTATTCTCCTCTACAAGATGGCATAATTAGAAATTTAAAATTTCGTTTCATATCATGTCGTCTAGCATGGCATATTGGATTTTTGCACAAGTGAATGAAGTTTTCAATTCTTCTTCCAAAAATGCATAATGTCACATTGACCCTGGCAAACCTTCAAATTTTCTAGGTAGGCCTTGAAATTATTCTATATTATAGTCATTTGCTTCATACACTATATTTATCGCATGATCACCTGTCTTTATTTGATATGGGATTTCAAAATAAATTGCGTGTTATTGCCCTATTTTCTCCTCTACAAGCTGGTGTAATCAAATTTTCAATTCGAGGTATCTTCTTTCGACTTCCATCACCAACGGTTTTTCATATAGACGCTAAATTGCAAGTTTGTACATTTAAATAAAGTTTTTAGTCCTAAATAGGATAGTAAATATTGTATGGTAGAGCTCTAAAGAAATGAGGTCACCGAGTATGGACACGTTCATTGCTGTAATCTGTAAAACTAAAAAAGTTGGTAAAACCCACGTCTTTTTAATGCCATTGCACTACATGGAAAATTGTACTAGAAGTTGTGTCGATGGCTTTGGAAGTATAGAGTCATTCTATTTGGCGCCGTTTCAGTTGGATTATTCGATTTGCAATTGCGACAATCGGTATAGATTGGCCGCCGGGATTTTTTAATCAAAGACAGAAACGGGTAGCAGAAGAAACAGATAGTTTTCCGAGTTGTGTTATTCCAGCAGTCGCGTCACGCAGCATCAGCTAGGGCAGCGGCAGGCTGTCGCAAGCCAGGGGGAGGTTAGCACAGGATGATACCCCAGCATTCTTCTCCAGCTGTTGATCTGCGGGACTGGAGGGAAAAAAGCGGTTCGCTGCGGGGAGGGTTGTTCAGGGTGGTCGTGACTAGGGGTAAACGCTCCTGCTACTCTTTGCTCTTTTGGGATTGTAACACGACGTACACTATTTTACATATATGAATTTTG